CCCAGAGAAATGGACATCCTCTACCCATACCACCATAGTGTTTTGTACACAGTAGACACTCATTTAGGTTAAGAAATGAAGGTTTCTTCATGAAATGTTGCTCCAGTGTAGGCTCAAAAATCAAAAACAAAAACAAAAAACTTTGAGAATCTAGGTTTTATCTTTGTACCCACCAAAATCATCAGAAAGATGCCTATTTGAACAGTATTCCCTTGCTGTGCCTGGATGGCAATGTATTATTATATCCTTGGTTTTTATGGAGGGGCAATAAAAGAAACAGTCCCTTCCTCATTAGAGGTTTTGATGTTGTTTTTGTTTTTGAGGACATTATCTTAAGTTGCTTACTGCCCCCTCTATGAAGCCCCAAGTGAAATGTTTATTCTGAAGATGTCAGAAAAAGCTACTTATATCTCATATTCAAACAAGCACAGTGTACCTCATTAAACAATAAGATCTATATAAATGAGTAACTTCCTTTTTTGTTATGTCTGCAAGAAACTCAGAGCCAAATTTATGCCTCAGCTATAACCATTATTGGGCACATGTGGCCTGCACAATTGGGATCCAATTTTCCCCCTGAAACCTACTTCCTATTTTAATTTACATTTTTCTGAAGTCTAATTTTATTTGAATTTACATTTTACTATTTTCTTCTAAACCACCATGAATTTATTTATGGTATAAAGCAGTGTGTAAATAGAGGTAAAATGGTACAAAAGTATATAAGATTGGAATTGCAAATATGATTTGTCTCCAAGATATTGGTGCATTACTACATGTATACAGTTCTTCAAACTTTTGTGTTCATGATCCCATTCATATGTTTCCTTTAATCCTTTAATTACCAGCCTGAGTTTCCTAGCTAATGAACTAAGATTCATGTCTGAATTAGCATCTTGCCTATCACACAGCGAGCATGTGCTGAAATTTTCATGGGACCAAGACACCCACACCAAGCTCTTCACACTACACTCAATGTCTCCAGATCCCCACAACAAAAGAGCCTAGAAAATTCTGTTCAGAAACTAAAAGTGGATTGTAGTCTTTCAAAAAGTTTCATATTTCAATTGTTTTCTTTCCAATATGAAGTAATAAACAGGCAGCTACATGCTGCCAAAATCTATCAGTATAGATTTTCTTCTTTGTATTTCTCTCTTTTATACTAATGGTTAGTTTTTCTCAACCTGTATTTTAAATGCCTTTGTGTTTCTGATGTTTGCTTTTATTTGTGGTCTCTGCATCAACATTATACAATTAGATCTATAAACACGCTCCCCATCCTCCAACATTATTTGCTTATTTTTACAGAAAGATCTTGAGGAAGAATGGAAGGACTAAGAAAAGAAACTCTCCCCCAAGTGCAGGTAGATATCAAAATACCAATAGAAAATGACAGTGTCCTTTCATTCTGTTGACATTTCAAGGACTGTATTTCTTTTGGGGACCCCCTAAAGGCTTCCAACCCTCAGTTTCACGGACCTTCATCAAAAGATGTTATCATGTTGTGTCAATCGACAAAAATAGCATGATCGCATATAAAATCAAGTGGCACAAAACTCACTCAGCCTCAAAGGCACAATAAATCTGGAGCATTTTTAATATTTAAAATTCTAAACAATATTTTTGTTCTAGGCTTTAAGCATATATTTTTATAGTTACTAGTTTAGCACTTCTTTTAACAGCTCACACAAACAGTGCTGTCTTTGTAAATTCCCAAAGGGACAATTGAGAAAGTGATGTCAAACTGCACCATGGTTGTTAATTCTTAATGTCTGCAGGAAGAGTGTTGGCTCTGGGGTGAGTTCTTAGACTTGACCATGGAAAATGGTAAGGAAAGGATTAGGAAATGGGGGACCCAGGAGACAAAAGAGAAAACAAAGCAAACACAAAAATTAGGACTAGAAATGCAGAGTTGGGAAAAGTAAATTCCTTCATTAGACAGTTGAATACACTGAGGTCCAGGCGGTCTTCAAGACTGGATGCAACGTCTCAGAGCTAATCTGCGTTAAAGCCAAGACTGGTTTGTCATTTTCAAGCCAACCATATCACATCACAGTGCCATAACGAAAAGAGTTAACTCACTGACGGGATTAAAACTGAAAATTCAAGTGTTGCCATCATTATGATAATTGAAGTTTCATGGTGTAATTAACATTTCATCCAAAATGCTGTTGTTGAGTGATAAGTCATTACAAGACTGCATTAAACAGACTAGATTTTTAAATGAAGAGAAATTTTATTCCCAATGAGAAAGGTCTCAATTATGGAAAACAACTGAGAACTACAGTATAAATATCTCCAAGAGCAAGGACACAACATAACACACTAAATATCAGTTAAGGAAATATCAAGATCATCAGAAATACAAAAAAAAAAAAGCAATTCCTAAGGTAGGAACATTTATAATAAAAGTGCATTGTAATTAAAATGCTCTGCCATGTGTAATATCTTGATTCTAGCATTCTGAATTTATTAAGCTCATTCTGATACTCATTTCTCTCCATACTATGAATGTTGGTTTGTGTATCAAATTCTCATCATCCCTAGCAAAAAAAAAAAAAAAATCATATAGAAAAGAAGGAAAGCAGAAGTTCCTTTCTTGTTGTGACAAAATACTTTGCAAAATGAGTGCTGAATCCCATGTGGCAACATGGTAATGAGATGACATGTAATATTTATGTAAATTTTCAAAAGGTTGAAGTATAAGAAATCTTTAGTCACAAGAGGCTTTCTTTAAGCTTATTCACTTCAGAATGTGTATGACAACAAAAGCTCAAAAAATGAAAATTAAGTAATAAATGAATAGTGTTGCATTGTGGAGAAAACATCATCCATGAAAATGAAAATTTGTAATGAAAATCCAACATTACACTGAGTTTAATAAAGCCAGTAATCACCACAACTTAACAATAAAGGCATCCCATGAAATGATGAGTTGACAAGATACAGTAGTTTTTAGCTGCTTATATAAAATATGCAACAAAAGTTTTCAGGGACTAAGATGTTTGTATCCGTTGATGTCTTTAATAATAATAAAAGCATTTAGTTTTTGCTTAACATAGATCCTCCTAAAAAAAACTTCACATGTGCATAGTTTCATTCATATAGCAATACAACACACTTATGGGTGCACAATGAAGAAGATAGAAAGGTAAGTGTGACTTATTCCCAGCCATGAAATTTCTGGCGTAGAGAAAGCACTGGAAAAATGATACTTATCATTAGGGTTTTCTCATCACTTTTAGTCAAGTTCACAGGATTTCCTATCCATTAGAATGATGAGAACAAATGAAATTATACCATCATTGTACATGACATGAATTACCTCTTGTAGAAAATAGGAAATATCCTGACATTATTCTAATATGTTCATTCTCAAAGTAACTGTATATTCTCTAAATAGAAAGATCACAATAAGTTTACCTTCTTTAACTACAGAGTTCTGAAGAATCCAGCGATAAACAGGCATTTGTACTCAACACAAATCATAAAAGAACTTGACAGTGCTCTTCCCTTTTTATCCTATTCCTTCTTCCTGGGCAATCTCATCTACTCCCATAGTGTTGACCGCCAAAAATATGTAGATGATGCCCATTTGTTTGCCCCCGACCTTGTCCCTGAGCTTCTCTAGGTTCTTGGGGCCCAGATGCATCTGGAAATATCTATCTCAACACTACTTAGGCACCTCCAGCTTTGTATGTTTAAAACGGAGTTGTCACCGCATGCATCTGAAACCTGCCCCTTCTCCCGAAGGCACCCTTCATATCAGAGCACCATCATCTAAACTGTCATTCAAGCCAGAACACTTGTCGGTGCCTTTGACCCTGGTCTCTGCCCCAAGCTCCATACCCAACCAAAGAGCACACCAAAAGCATTTCCTCCTAAATATTTCTCAAAAGCATGCCTTCCACTGCATGCCTCACACCATTTTCCCGCTTCAAACCTTCACTATTTCTCACGTGAGTGACTCAAATGGCTCTTCACCAGCCTGCCTGCTTCCCCTCAAAATAGCACCCAGAGAGTCTCCATCTGCTCTCTCTGCAGTTCTGCGCATGTCTCTCTGCCGTAAAGGCCCCGCAATGCTCCCTCCACCCTCCCCCTGCCCCGCCAGAGCCAGATCCCTTAGAATGGCCCATGCTTTTCATGATCTGTCCCTGTCCTACAGTATTAACTTTGTCTTTTGTCACTTCTAGCAACACTATCCTTCACACAGTAGTTTATTATTATTATTATTATTATTATTATTATAATTATAATTATTAGCACTATTATTGTTTCTCCATGCTCCTTTTATCTACCTGTGCCCTCCTGGACTAATCAACCTGTGCTCACACTATTGGACTCGGCTCTTCCAAAAAGCCTTTTCTGAAACCACAGACTCACATAGACGCCTGAGCAAACACATAGGATCATGTTGTCATTTCAGACTCGAATGAACCAGAGAGCTTATCCATTAACAAGTTTTAGTCATAATTTCAAAGATATAGGCAATCAAGTGGCTCAAATTAAATAAGGAGATGTCTGAGGCTCTGAGGTGGTTCCCAAGTCCTTCCTTCCCCAAACAGACAAGAGCCCATGGTAAGCAAAGTCCTCAGAAGTCATTTCCTCTCAGTGGGGATGTTTAGTTTATGAAACATATCCATTTTATGTCACCCAGCTTATGTGACATTATTTCAGGAAATGTATTGACTATAGGCAATCCTTCAACAGAGCCATTTTGTTAAGAACATTCCACAGATAAGGATATTCTAGCAAATATCATTAATCTATTTACTAGGAGGTGCAGTTATCATATTGACAAAGCTACCCAGGTCACCTGTCTTTTTTTTTTCTTTCTGCTAGGAGTATACGCTGACACCCAACCCTGTGGTAGAAAAAGTGTAGATACAAATAGTGGGTCAGCTGATTTAACCCTTTCCTCTCCACCCCCCCCTGCATCTTATATTCTAGTAGGAATACATGAAGTTTTGTCAGAGCTATCTTGATGTGGCTATACTCACAGAGGTCTTCACGTTGGGAGAGCAGATGTTTTAACACAATCTGTAAAAAAACAAAACAAAACAAAACAAAAAACTCTTAAAAAACGTATTACCTCATCAATGTGTATAGCTGACCCCTATATCCCATCCACACTTCAACCCTATATACCTCAGTGATTATATTTCCGGGTGGGATAAGGCTTGGGGAAGAGGAAAGAGTCAGAACTTATATGGTCAGAGGTGTTCATTGTGCACAATGACAATTAAGAAAAAGTCAGAAAGGGGGCGCCTGGGTGGCTCAGTCGGTGAAGTGTCTGCCTTTGGCTCAGGTCATGCTCCCTGGGTCCTGGGATCAAGCCCCACATAGGGCTCCTTGCTCGGCGGGAGTCTGCTTCTCCCTCTCCCTCTGCCCCTCCCCTCAAGTCATTCTCTCTCTCTGTCTCTCTCAAATAAATCTTTTAAAAAGAAAAAGTCATATGGAGTCATCAAATTCAGAGAGACAGGAAGCAGAAGGGCAGTTGCCAGGGGCTGGGGGGGGACAGGGGTCAGTGTTTAATGGGGATGGGGCTTCTGTTTGGGAGGATGAAAAAGTTCTGCAAATAGATCACAGTGATGGTTGCACAACAACAACAAAAAAAAAAAAAAGAAAAGAAAAGAAAAAGTCATAAACTAAATTTCAAAAGAGTAAAGTTGAATTATTTTTATTCAAACACAGCATTTCCATGTCACGTTCTTTAACAATTTGTATTAAACTTTTCTATATATATATTCATAATTAACTTATAAGTTTCTGAATTTCAGATATTTCCAGACATTCTAAACTTTTTCAATGACATTTCCCTCTCTTTCCCTTAATTAAACTAGAACTTTCTTCTATTGGCACAGTTTCCTCGCTGCTCTAATAAAGGCTAATCATGTGTTTACACCTCAGAGCCCTCAAATTTCAGAGGGGGCATTACAGTCTTGCCTACTCCATAATGCTAGTCACCTTTCATTCTTGCAAGAAACACTCATTCTTTGGGTCTCAAGCTTCTCAATTGTAACATCTTATGCCATTTCAACTGATTGTAATCTACTGACCTAGAAATTCCCTCTTTTCATTTATATCAGATTCATTTACTTAAATATAGAATTATTTGAACTCTCTTATAAGTTTTGATAAAATACATTCTTCTTGAACTTTCTACATTTCATCTAAATTAAAAATTTGTTGTTATAGAATTGTTCAGAATTTCCTCTTACATTATTTGAAATTTCAAAGGACTTATAGTGATGTCCCTTTTAAGTTCCCAATTTTAGTCATTTTACTTTCACCTTTTTTTGATTAGTCTTGTTATGGACTAATTAATTTTGTTAGTCTATTTAAAAACCAAAATTTTATCTGATGGTATTAGCTTTTGCAATTTTGTTCTCTAGTTCATTAAATGTTTATCTTACTTTTATTATTTTCTTCTGTATACTTCCTTTGAACTTAATTTGTTGTTCTTTTTCTAACTTCTTGGGACAGATATGTAGGTCACTGATTTTCAACTTTTCCTCTATTCTAATATATTTAAGGAAATAAATTCCCCCCCAAGTGCAGTTTTAGCTCCATATCTTAAGTTTTGATGGGTCATAATTTTGATGATCCTTTAGTTCTAAATATTTTCTAATTGTCAATTTTTGGTTTTTTTTTTTTAGATGAACTGTCTAATTTAAAAACATCTGGTATTTCCTAACAGCATTTTTTTTAATGTCTAGCTTATTTCAACTATGGTCAAGGAACACTGCAAGATTTTAACTGTCTAAAATCTGTCCACTTGCTTTATGGTCCTAAATATGATAGTTAAATAATCCATGAGTACTGGGAAGAAGCATGCATTCTAGTTGCTGTGTGCAGTGTTTTATATATGACAAGCTTGTTGCTAATCAAGACATTGAGCTCTTTTCTATGCTTTCAGTATTTTATCTGCTTGTGTTACCACTCCCTGAGACAAATGTGGGTTTCTGTTCTTTCCCTTTTATTTTGGTCAATTTGGGCTTCATATAATTTTCTTTATATATTTATATTATTTGAGCTATGTAACTAGGTTTATTTCAATAAAGAATTGTTAAATCTTCTGGTTGTTTTACCCTTTAACCATGATAAATTGTCAATCTTTCTGCTTGCTGACATAGCCACACCAGATTATCTTTTACTACGTTTCTCTGAAGATGTATTTGTAACTTTTCTGGCTTCTTCTATTTAAGATATATCTCTAGTAAACAGCATATAGTCAGATTTGCTTTTTTATTCAGTATAACATTTTTTAAGTTGTTTATAAAGTAATTAGTCATATAAGTAGGATTAAATGCACATTCTTAATATTTGTTTTCTCTTTGTATCAATTTCTCCTCCATTTAGTAGCTGTGCCATTTGGAACATACGACCTCCTTGGTCAATGCTCCAGGGAAAGAATAGCATAGAGAATCGTAAACTGACTCAAATTCGTTTGCCTGGAAGTGTCATGTCAATCTTGATTGCCTTCACTGGACAAAGACAGTCATGTGGCCATGCTGAAACTGAAGGGAGCCAGACCATGTACTTTTCTGTTTCCCCAGGAAGAGAGATGAACCAGATCCATCAGGAACACTGTAATATCTGACATACTCTACATAAATTTTTAAATTTTTATATTTTTATTTTTAAAACTTTTTTATTTTTTAAATTTTTAAATTTTTAAAACTTCCATATGTCAGAGAGTATAACATAAACAATACCAAAAGTCAGGTAACACCTGGGTAGAAACTATTTCAAACATGTATTATAAAAAAAAGACTACTATCCAGAATATATAATGAAATCCCTCTTTTCATTTTAATTATTTCAATTACTTAAATATAGGATTAGACTTTCCTCTTGTGTCAGTTTTGGTGAGTTGCATTCTTTTTTCATTTTCTCTATAGAAATGTCTTGTCAAATATTTCAGACATTTGAGTACTCAAAACATTTATTTCCTGGGGTGCCTGGGTGGCTCAGCTGGTTAAGTGTCCGACTCTTGATTTCAGCTCAGGTCATGATTTCAGTATCATGAGATCAAGTCCCGTGTCGGGCTCCGCACTCCGTGCAGAGTCTGCTTAAGATTCTCTCCCTCTACTCCTCCCCCCATGCTGTCTCTGATTCTCTTTCTCTCTCTCAAATAAATAAAACCTTTTAAAAAATGCATTTATTTCCTCCATACCTTTGCCCAGAAAGTCACTTAAGTACTCCTGCAAAATGAGAAGTCAAATCCCACAAAACAAAGTAAATCAAGGAATTTAAAATTAAACAGTGATATAGTCATAATACACTGATATAGTAGTATTATAATACATTAATTTCTCCCTTTGTAGATGAAGATCTGAGGCATCAGGCTTTTTCAAATACTCTATGAGAGAATGTAAACATAAAGTTCAGAATGCATGTATCCCATTGCCCAGAAATTCTGCTCCTTGATAGGAGAAAATGAGAGTACAAAAAGGAATGCATTATGAAGCAAATCTATACACAATGACCTGAAAAATCTCTCTCAGACATATTGCTAGGTTAAGAAGCTGCATATCAATATTTAGAGTGGTCTATTTATGTTAAAATTATGCACATAAATAAAACAAAATTATAGGACCTGCTCTTTGTACATGTATGTGCAATATCAGTATATAGAAAATGCTCTCATATGACCAACCACAGATTATCAGTGTGAAATAAGATTGGATGAGGGTTAAGAGGAACTTTTACTTTATCGAAATTGTTTGAATATTTCACAGTGATAATTCAGTAGTTCTTGTGTATGTGTAATCATATGCTAAAAAAATACTAAATAATATACTAAATAAGATACATTCTAAAGAATAACCAGGTTGTTTTCATGTTTATAGAATTACTACACTCTAAGTGTCTTAAAGTGATTTTTCTTGTTTTATCAAAGTAATATATGCACATAATAATGAATCAAGTGGAAGGAAATGTTCGTAATGAAAAAGAATGTTCCTTTTCCCCATTCTTCCCCAGATCTCACCATCCCAACACCATAGCTCAGAGACAAACTTTTAAATCTCTCTGTTTCAAATCTTTTTATAGTTAGCACAAAACATTAAGGAATAGATTTATACCTTCATTTCCCAATTTTAACAATATTTTATATCCCCTTCTAAAAAGATTAAAAATAAAGCTCATTATACTGATTCATACTCTTTCTTTTTCTATAAAGTTGTATAGTTATAATGATATAAACTTTCCTGTTAATTTACCTGAGTAGCTTTGAATAATATATTTAAATATTTCCCATTCCACCAATTTTTTACAGTATCAGTAAAATTTCACTCTGTAAGGTGAGAAAATTAACACCCTTACCATTCTATCCACCTTCCATACAGCTCCTCTTCACTTCTGCTCTCTGCACAACTGGACTTTTTATACTTTAAAAGCTGAAGACATGGATATTTCGTTCTGCCACCACAATCAAGCCTTCTGTGCTTAGTTCGTAGACTGATTCTAAAAGTTGAAAGACCAATAAACAGAATTACATTATTATGACTATGTAATTCTTCACTATTTGAGGTACTCATCATGTGAGGATTGCAATTCCTTTTTCCTCATCCAATGCCATGAGAGACATGAAAGACAAAGTACTAGCACTTTGTCAAATGAATTATTCTTTTGTCATCCTCTATCAGTGACATTATTATGACACAATTTATTTTGCACTGTACTTGGACCATAGCTTTGGGTTGGCCATTTGGTTTTATCCTGGAATTTTTGTGCGCTTTAATTTCTTTGACTGAACTCTGGTACTGCTATGAACTACCATGCTGGAAACTCCCATCTAAGATGGACCCATTCTTTCCCAGATCCCATGCCCATATATTGATTTACTTTTTAATTTTTTTTGAGGAATTAATTAACTTTCTAAGCAAAGGCATGGGGGTAATAAATGTTTTAAGTACTCAAATGTCTGAAATTATGATTTCTCTGGCCTCACCCTTGATTGATACTCAGCTTTGTTTGAAATCTGGGTTCCAAATAAGATCTCCTCAGAATTTTGAAGGTATTTTGAAGGTACCTATTATCTTCTTTCATTGAATTTTGGCAATAAAAAGTCTGCTGTCCGTCTGATTCTCATTTCTTTTATAGGTAACCAGTTTTGTTTTTGCTTGATTTTTCTTCCTAAGATTTTAGAAATTTCTCTATATCCTTGTTAGTTTAAAAACCTTGAGGACATGTTTAGTCTGGGCTTGTTTTCACTCTCTTCATTCTTTAGACTCTTTCAGTAAGATTTGGGCCCTTCCCCAGTACTAAGAAATTATTATTTTTTAATTATTTAAATATGTGTTCTTATCCACATTCTTTTTTCTCTCATTTTGGAATTCTCATAGTCAGATACTGCATCTTCAAGTCATCGATGTCTCTGAGGAGAGACTATCTAGATAACTACATAGGCCCATATCCTCTCTGCTTTTGTAGCTTGGTAGAGAACAGGCTAAGGATGTCACAGTGAGTTCAACAGCGAAACAGGATGACAACAGCCGGTGGGCTCCTGAGAACCCTCCTTTCTAGTAAGACTACTTACATGACCAAGGAGTTTCCACTCTTAGAATATCACACAGATGTTCTCTCACTGCACCCATAAATACATGGGACATTAGGGAACAGCGCTTGTTGACCACAGCAATGACCATCATCATACAGACCACCTACAACTGGCCTAGATGTGGGACAATGAGAGGTAGGGAAATACATACACTCTACTACTTCTCTTGTGGTAGAATTCCCCCTACTTCCAATAAATAACTTCCCCCATTTTAAGGTTCATAACCTTAATTGCACATACAGAGCCCCTTCTGCCACGTGACATGGCACATTCCCAGAGCTGGGTATCAGGGTGTGGACAACTCTGGGAGGTGTTCTGCCTACCACACAAATAGTTACTGGAACAGGTGGATAACTGGATTTAAAAAATACATGCATTGGTTTTCTAGGACTGCCGTAACAAAGCACCACGAAACTGGGTGGCTTTAATAAGAAATTTTCATGTCTCACAGTTCTGGGGGCTGGAAGTCTGAAACCAAGGTTCTGGCAGGGTTGGTTCCTTCTGAGGCTGTGAGGGAAGAGTCTGTTTGAGGTCTGTCTCCTTGGCTTGTACATGGCTGTCTTCGTGTTCACATGACATTCTCTCTATATGCTTGCCTGTGTCCAGTTTCCCCTCTTATAAAGACACCATCATATTGGATTAAGGGATCATCCTATTTTAGTATGACCTCATCTTAACTAATTACATTTACAGTGACCCTATTTTCAAATAAGGTCACAGTAGGAGGTACTAGGGGGCCAGAACTTCTACATACGAATTTTTAAGGGAACACAATTCAACCCATACCACACTGATAAGTGATATTTCTTTCAAATTTTAAGAATTAAGTATTAATATTTTCATAATGTAATTCTTTTCAGATACATATTCTTAAGCATTCTGGGTCATGAGAAATATCCATAAATAAAGAATATAGAAGACAGAAGATAATTTTTATATAATCATCTCAGGGAAACTCTCTTTTACTCTGAAGAAAACAGCTCTGGTAAAATTAAAAAAGTCAAACTTCCCAGTTATTATTCCTAAAATATTAGAACCCCAGCCTCAAATTTTTCCAAAAGAAATATCTATTTCCTTAAAATCAAAAAACCTTAACATGCTGTGTATGTTCCAAAATTAAATTATTTCTGTGCATGTCCTTCCTAGCTAGCTCTCGAGCTGGTAGGATTCTTTGGTTTTATAGAGATCATTCTGGTTATCTTGGGGCATGCCTTAGGCATTAGATGACCTGCAAGCTCCGTCCCATGTAAATCCCCAGTTTTCCCTGACTGATGGCAAATCACCACATCACTCCACAGCCTGCAGAAATGATGACAGCTCAAAGAGTCGCTGCCCTTTCAGCTTTAGGATAAATCCACACTCCAGAGGTCTTTGTATTATTTGCAGAGCAAGAGCAGAAACAGGTTTCTATAAACAAGAAATATAGGACACCCTCCCTCCTGTGATGCACAGATACAGGACTCCAAATTATGATAGATTATATATAGTGCACCTAGCACAGTGCAAGGCTACCACAAATTTATGGAAAAAAATTTTGCATAAAAATTGGACTGCAGCATTCAGGGATACGGCCCTTGAAAACTTAGAATAAATGACTGCTCATATCACCAATCATTCATTCTACAAACCTTTATTGAGCACTCTGAGTGCAAAGTACCACAACAGGAGGAGTTAGAAATCACGAGGGATGCACATCTTGATCTTACAGGCACTATTGTTCAGCCCCGTGGGATTGCAGGGAAATCAAGCAAAGGAATCTCTCTCTTCTCCACACCTCCTTTTTAAATTAAAAGGACCAATTCAGAAAAACAAAATCCTTTTTGTCAACAGCCTGCCTCTTTTTATACTTCCACTGAACAAACTGTTCAAGGGCAAAATCCGTGGCAGAGATAATAAGGAAGAAGGACTCTCTGCAGCAGCAGGTGTGAGATGAACGGGAGCATGACAGGGTTACCTATGGCTTCCAATTTTCCAGAGAGGGCTTTTCTGCCTGGTTAGGCAAGAAAACGAAAGTAGAGGCAAAAGATGGAAGGACATGTTTTTGCCAAGTTTAAAACTGTCTCAGAATATGTTCCTTCAAGTTTTTCAATAGAGTTCAAAGCTTTTAGCTTCTCAGGTTGTTTTTTTTTTTTTTTTTTTTTTTTTTTTTTTGCTTTTTTTTGTTTTTTTCTGCTGAGAAATGGGAACATTTCATAGAAAATGAACCCTGGAAACAAAAAGATATGTGGATAGGTATTTTCCATAAAATATTTTACACACTGATACATTTCATCACTCAATTCATTAAATCTTAAAATTCAAGACGATTGTGTGTTTAATTAATCAAGGAGGCCCTACAGCCTGCACAAGCAAACCCAAATCTAAGCCTGGGTGTACCTCGAGGTTACAAAGTCAAAATGCTGAGGACAACCAATCACATGCAGCCAGCAAGGCTTCCCACTGGAGCTGGTCAACAGCTTCCCCTTCTGCGTCTGCACTTCATCTATGGAAGTCTTTCCCCTGGCTCCTGTCCACTTGGGCACTGTTAACCATAAATCCAAGTACATAATGGCTCAGCTCAGTCCTCTGTGGGAGTCCTCCCTACACAAAAATCAAGGTGTGGGCAGGGCTGGGTTTTCTCTGGAGGCTCTGGGGAAGACCCCACTTCAAGCTCTTTCAGGTTGTTGGCTGAATTTAGTTGCGGGCAGAACCGGGGCTGAGCTTCTTCTTTGGGGGCTGGCAGCCTGGCCAGGAGTCTCTCTCAGCTCCAGAAGGCCTCCTGCATCCCTCATCATGTCACCCCTTTCATCTCCAAACCAGCAACAGTGGGGTCCAGTCCTTCTCGCACTTCAAATGTCTCTTCCACACCTCCATTGCCTTCTCCTCCCACCATATCTGTCAAAAATTAAGTCCAGGCAGAGAAAATCCTGTGCTTTATTTAAAGGCTCATGTGATTAGATTGGGCCCACCCTAACAATCCCAGAAAATTTCTCTATTTTAAGGTCCACAAACTTAATTGCATAAGTAAATTCTCTTTTGCCATGTAACATAACATATTCATGTGTCCTGGAATTAGGTTGTGGACATCTCTGACAGTCTATGACACACACAATTATTGAGGCAAGTTGATAAGTGATATTTCTTTCACAATGGAAAAATTAGGTATAAAAATAATTCCATAATGCAATATTTTTCATATTACACTCTCAAGCATTCTGCATGGTAAGTGAAGCCAACAATCTTGCTTTGGGATTGTTTTCACTCGCTATAACTTAAACATTATGCATTCACTGCCTTTATGTGAGTTATTACAGTCTAGTGAAGGCTGGAGAATGTGTCATTAGCCTTATTCTTGAAGCTGATAGTGGTTGAGTGACTCATCACCCATCACTCATCAATGACCTCCATGTCTTGATGATGTGATAGATCAGTTCATATTGATTAATGTGAAAATAGGCTCATGTCATTTTTCTTGGTAATCTAAGATAGAAAATGTGAAAATAGCTTCCATTAATTAAAGGTGATCCACAGGAAAATAGTGGATGACAGCAGTGTTGTGATTAGGTTGCATTTTACAGATAGGGCATTGGCTGAAGACAAGTGAAAGCAGATTCTCTGTCTCGATATTTGTTTTCCCACCTCTGGGCTTAGCATGTGATGCTATTACAGAAAACTCTATTTCCAAACCCTTCATTCCAGGAATGATATAATCAAGTAATATGTGACAATGTGTTACCTCACTCTTAGGAAGTGTGGTATTAGCAGTAAATTATCAGCCCCCCATGGGTTACACATGTGTGTGTTTGTGGGTGTTGCCTGAGGCCATTAAAAACAGGCTTAAATATATTTGCATACTGTCAGAAAAATTCATTAACCTTTTTATTTT